AGATATTCCCCGCATCACCGGCTCACATTTCAAAACACCCCGCCTCTCTCCGAGCGAGCATTGACGACTGGAAACTAAGCGAACCGAGTATGACGACGCGGCAGGGCGGCCAGCTGACGCAAGAGCTCCGGTGCCCTCGCAGACGCGTTCTGCGCCGCTGGTTGCCGGGCTATGACGCCCTCGTCACGCGACAAACACCGCGCGGCGACCAGGCCGGCCTCGGCGGCTGGCTCAGAACGCTGACGACAGCTGACGCACGTCAGCGGCGCTGCTTCTGCGAAAGGCTCAGCGCAGCGTTGTGGCCCGGCCGCCAGCTGACCCCAATCGTGCCGTGCGGGCCCGGCCCGGCGGCGGGACGCCCCTGGTGACGCCGGCGCCGGCGACGTCCGCTCGTCGCCGCGCCGCCCACACGCGCGCGCCGCCGCGCCAGGGCCGCCCCGCCTCCGGTGGCGGTGGCGGCTGCGTGTTTACACGGCGCCGCCGCCGCCGACGGCATTGCGCCGCGCGCACGCGGCGTGCGTCGCTCTCAGACCGGCGGCGGAGGCGCGGGGCACCCGCCCGGGCACCGCAGCCGTCCCCGGCCGGCGCCGTCGTCACGAGGCGTGGCATACTCTAGAGCGTGACGAAAAGGCGGTCGATCACGAGCAGACGGCCGCCTACCGGAGGCGTGATGCCGAGCGGCGGGCAGCGTTCACTGGCACGTCATTAGGCCGCTCTCCACCTGAGGGGCACCACTTTCTCCCGCGTGCCCATGCGTCGGCGCCCCTCCGCTGGAGCTGGCGCGGAACTCCTTGCACCACTCCTTGTGAGAAGACCAGGGTGGATGCCAATAACGCGTGTAATCAAGGATTGCCTGAGACAACACAAAACATCACATCAACTGCGTTCCCGAAATAGAAGCACAAGGGGCCACATGCCTGCTTGACGTCCCGATAATTGTGTTACCTGGAAAGGAAAGTGTAATCACGTCCCGACAATAGCCGACCACAAAAAAATGTCAATAAATACGGGCTTCGAGAGATTTAACCAGCTTACAGACATCGTCCACTGCCCAAATCACCAACAAATCATGTTAGACGGCACAAATATAGACAGATAATGGTCGAGGGCTATCATGTCGACCGATAAAAAAGATGTCTAATCGACATAAGATTGAGCTTCATACCCCGGCGCCTGCCGGGCCGAGGCATGGCCGTCGTACCAGCCGTTGACTTGCTGCCCTGGCACGCAAAGGGCCGAGCAATCTTCTTTTTCATATGGCACTTTGGCACTTCATATGGCACCTTATACGGCCGTCTTTTTGCCATCCGATCGTTTCTCACCGTACAATGTTGCCAAGGTTTGAGTTACTCCAACATGACCCATTGGAAATCGATAGTCGATAGCAGGACCGACAACACCGGTTATTCACTCCCATCACAGCACTACATATATGTCCATGACGCATGGAATCGTATTAATGCCATCGTGCTACGGTGCAATGAGGCGAAGTCTCCATGGCACAGGTGATCACATGCATGTTGTTTTATTTGCCCGAAGATGGCTAGTCGGACAAACTGGGTCCCAATTTCTTTGAGGCAAGAAAACTCGGACAGTTGCGAATAGCTGTCAAAAGGGGAGCTAACGACGAAAATAGCGAGCAATAATCTTCACTGGCGTCAAAAAGGACCTTGGGTGGGAAACACATGCGTCACACGGTGAGTCGAACTGACAAGCGCAAAGACATGTGGGACATGTCATAGATACACTGGCTAAACCGTAGGATCGGACATTTGGCTGCGACGAAAGCCTGGTGCCACACGGTGCTGGATGCCCTCAAACGTACACCAAATCTGCGTGATGGGGATGAGCCTCGAGTATCCAGTCGAATCCAGCCGTACTGCAGGAAGTGATCTGCACGGCGGTGATAACCGAGCTGATACCGTCGGCGTCGCCCGGCGCCTGACCGCCCCACCGTCGCGTCCCAGGCCTGCAGGAGGCGCGTGGGCCGCGCCGCCGTGCCGACGGGCCCTGCGCGAGCAGCCGGCGCCTCTGACGCAACACGCGTCTGAGGCCGAGAGCGTTCACCTGCGCCGCTGACGTCAGTCCCCCCCCCCCCCCCCCCCCTCCTCCCCAGCCGCCAGCCGAACAGACGGCCCGGCGCCGGCACGCAGGCGTGGGACAGCATCCGGCAACACGGCCGGGAGCAGCAGGAGGCGTGCAACAACGGAGCAACCGGCGGCAGGCGACCCGCAGGCACGGGCGCGAGACGGCACAGATCAGCAGGGCGGCGGACGGTGTGAGCGCCGCTCGCCGCTGCCGGGACCCCGTGCAGCGACATCTCGCCCGCCCGCTGCGCCCCTCGTGTCACCCACGGCACGGCGCAGCACGTGTCCGCGAGGGGGGGGGGGCAGTCTCACTGAACCCCGAACCCTCCTGACGGTGTCATAAGACACGCCACAGTGCCCGACACCGCGCGACACCGGGCAATGCAGCCATTAGCAGCGGAAATTTCCAGAGCGCTGGCGTCAGTGCGCGCTGCACTCACAGCCGGCCCCTGGTGCATACACCGGGCGGTCAGATGAGCCACAGTGCACGCGACCGTAGCCGAGTCAGACACTGGAACCGGTCCCCTGGACGAGGCAGCTGCGTGGGCGTGCCATGTCAGCTGAACACCAACGGGACGGGACCCGTCTTGTTGTGTTAACGTAGGCCGTGTCGCGCTGTATTGCAGCCTAGCGCCCGTCCGACTGAGCCAGAGGGCAGGCCAAGTCAGTGGGGAAGGAAGGCAGATGGCAGAACAGGTCAGTTGAATTAGAGATTACAAGTCAGCTGATGAAGAGTAAAATAGCAAAATAAGTCCGGTGAATCAGAGAGCAGGTCAAGATAGCTGAGCCGGGGGCTCTGCGAACCAGCCGGACACATCTCAGCGGGTGGAACAGGTTAGCTGAGCCAGAGGCAAAGACAAGCCAGCTGAACCAGCGGACATGCCGAGACAGCTGACCGCGGACAACAGGAGAGGTCAGCCAATCCCGGACAACAGGAGAGGTCAGCTGATCCCGGACAACAGGAAAAGTCAGCTGACCCCGGACAACAGGAGAGGTCAGCTGACCCCGGACAACAGGAGAGGTCAGCCAATCCCGGACAACAGGAGAGGTCAGCTGATCCCGGACAACAGGAAAAGTCAGCTGACCCCGGACAACAGGAGAGGTCAGCTGACCCCGGACAACAGGAGAGCTCAGCTGATTCACGCGAGCTGGAAAAATCGACTGGCCCACTGACCCACACGACAGCAGATCCACGAGAGCACGAGAGCTGGCCACGTTAGCTGAACCAAAGGGCACCCGGTCACGTGCATCTGCACGCACAAGTCAGGCGAGCCGCTGACCACGTGACCGTCGCACCCGCGCCCGGGCCGCGGGCAGATTCTGGCCGAGCGTCACGTGCTGGCCTTGTCGGTGCCGCACTTGTCTGACCCACGCCCGCGCGAGGGTCAGAATCACTGCAGACTCGGGGACGGCTCACCGACGGGGGCATGGTCCACCGTCAAACGGGCCTACTCCAATAGTACGACCTTTGATCCCGCCACCGCCCGACTCAAAACACCCGGCTCGCCTTGTATAACACCCGGCAGCCACAGTTGTGGAGGGTGGCGCGGTGTCGGCGAGGTCGGAGCCGTGAATGGCGGCGAGACGCGGGCCGATGCGCCCCGCCAGCGGCACCCGGAACGGCCCCGGGCGACGCCGGGCGCGCACGGCGCATCGGGAAACGGACCGGCGGCCGCGGCGGGGCGTGACGCACTCTGAGGAGGTGTCAAGCCAGCCGCCGATGCCACTGGCGTGGGGCGACACTGGTGCGCGGAAAGCACTTGCGTGGAGCAGAGACGGGTGTGTGGGACACACCGGCGAGGAGGAGAGCTGGGTGGGCGGAAGGAGAGATACTGGTGTGTGGGTGGGACTGCTGTGGGAGATCGGTGTGCGTGTGTGGGGGGGGGGGACTGCTGTGGGAGATTGGTGTGTGGGTGGGACTGCTGTGGGAGATTGGTGTGTGGGTGGGACTGCTGTGGGAGATTGGTGTGTGGGTGGGACTGCTGTGGGAGATTGGTGTGTGGGTGGGACTGCTGTGGGAGATTGGTGTGTGGATGGGACTGCTGTGGGAGATTGGTGAGTGGATGTGGGACTGCTTTGGGAGATCGGTGTGTGTGGGTGGGACTACTGTGGGAGATCGGTGTGTGTGTGTGTGTGTGTGTGTGTGTGTGTGTGTGTGTGTGTGTGTGTGTGTGTGTGTGTGTGTGTGTGTGTGTGTGCGTGCGTGCGTGCGTGCGTGCGTGCGTGCGTGCGTGCGTGCGTGCGTGCGTGCGTGCGTGCGTGCGTGCGTGCGTGCGTGCGTGCGTGCGTGCGTGCGTGCGTGCGTGTGTGCGTGTGTGTGTGTGGGACTGCTGTTGGAGATTGGTGTGCGGGTGGGACTGCTGTGGGAGATTGGTGTGTGGGTGGGACTGCTGTGGGAGATTGGTGTGTGGATGTGGGACCGCTTTGGGAGATCGGTGTGTGTGTGGGGGGGACTGGTGTGGGAGATCGGTGTGTGGATGTGGGACTGCTTTGGGAGATTGGTGTGTGTGTGTGTGTGGGACTGGTGTGGGAAATCGGTGTGTGGATGTGGGACTGCTTTGAGAGATCGGTGTGTGTGTGTGGGGGACTGGTGTGGGAGATCGGTGTGTGTGTGGGGGGGGGACTGCTGTGGGAGATTGGTGTGTGGGTGGGACTGCTGTGAGAGATTGGCGCATGGGCGGGACTGGTGTGGTGAAGACCAGCGTGTGGGTGAGACCGGCGTGGGGCGAGACTGGTGCGTGTCGATCTTTTCGGCACTTTGGTTTTCAGAGGCGGACTGTCGCGGGCGAGGGACGGGTGTGCGCCAGAAATACTCGCACACATATACCACAGACAGACGTGCACGGAGCAGACCGGCGAGGACGGCGCCAGCGAGCGGCGGCGACTGGCGCGGGCGCCGCCGTCTCCACTCACAGCGTGACGATGTCGGCGTTGGCGTTCTCGACGGCGATCCCCAGCGGGTCGCGCCCCCGACCGTCCCGGATCCGCTGGTTCGCCTTGTGCTTCAGCAGAACACACACCTGGCCCATGTTGTCTGGAACGGGAGCACGAGCGGCGGTCAGCAGCGGGCGGGCGGGCGGAGCCGCCCACGCCGGCCCCAAGGCGGCCACCCACCACGGCGAGGGTCACGTCGTGACGGCGTGACGTCGTGACGGCGGCTCAGGAATGTCGTAGTAAACAGGGAGCTCGCACGGCGGCGCTGTTCGTTTATCCGGCCGGCGTTGGCCTCGGCGTCGGCACAAGCGCGGCCACCCCTCAGGACAGTGACGCGTCTGCGGGCGGGCCGCGGCGGCGCTGCGCGCTGCCCGGTGCGCAGGCTCGCCCCGGGCGCGCTCAAACCTTAGAGGCCGCTCTCGGGACGCTGCTGGCCGTTGGTGGGGGGGGGGGACGGATGAGGGGTGGGGTCAGGCATCTCAGGTACATGAAAGCATAAAGTGTGCACACCTTTCGTGAAAAACTAGCATAGGCAGCGCTAGCATGTATATGTCGCCTATTCGCATTAACCGCTACTGTAACATGGAAAGTCTTACAGAAATAGCGTGAAAATGTAACTGAGAAAACATGGTGGAGTCTGCTTATCCTATAACGTTTGGTAGATCAAAAATCGCGTTTGGAATACTCACATCAACAAATCTTTGGCGTGCATCGCAGCGAATATGTATTATAATTAGACCTCCAGCTCAGTTTATCTCTCTGCCGTACTCGGGGTAGGTAGTTTGTTTCAAAACACATAACAATCAATCACAAGACAAACTTCAAAGCGTGATCTTTAACCTGTTCATACTGGAACCCGGATGCCCTCCTTTTCAAAGACGTCTTACCACGCTGGATAGCGACCAAATGTACACAACTTCACATTAACGGCCGATGTAAGCTTTGAGCCGGCGCGGGGACGGCAATCAGTGATTTACGTAAACAGAACATTTCAAGATGGGACATGTATCAAACTTGAGAGTCCCGCCTAGGTGGCCGAAAGTATGACACCTCAAGGAAAACCACCTCATCATTTACCTGCCAAGTCGCAATACATCGCGTGTGACTGTCGGAATTGGCGCGACTGCCGTATTTTTCGCATATTGCATTGCATTCGCCAACAGCTTTGACCCTTGACACAAACGTTGTATGTTCCGCAGAAAATCCCCAACAGATGTTATGAGTTCTACAGATCCACGGACGCCAGGGCTTACTTGCGTGGGACTGAGCGCTGTGCGACCGTGCAGTCAGAGCGCCCGAAACACCCAAACACCAGCCCACTTGCGCCAGCCGAGGTCTCGTCAGAGCAGGCACACTTCCGCGTGCTGATCGCTGGCACGACCGGAAGAGTCCCGCCGCGGTGCCGCTGGTCCGCGCCGGCCCGCGCCGGTCCGCGCCGGCCCGCGCCGCCCTCGCCCCGCCGCCTCCCGCCGGTCGGCGGCGCACATCGCGTTCGCGCGCGCCGGGGTTCATTAGACGACATCAGCCAGTGTTTGGAAGTCGGTGACAGCGTGAAAATAAGCAGGCGGCGGCGCCGGACACCGTGCCCGGGGCCCGGATGGGGGCGGGGGCGCCGGCGGGGCCGGGGAGGGGCGCAGCCGGGGCGGCGGCGCGGGGCCGGCCCGGGGTGCCGCCCACACACGCGCCGGCCGGCCGGGAGGGCAGCGGGGGCGCCGAGCCGGCCCCCCGGGCCGCTGTACGACGCAGCACAGTTCGCCTGACGACGGACAACTGCCGGCTGTTTTTAAAGCGAGGCTGGCGCGTCCACTACTACGAATTAAACTACGGCAGTCACCAACCAAGGACGCGGGGGCCCCTGAATGATACGCACGCCGCCGGCGCGCGCGCCTGCCTGCCTGCGGCGTCCGCGAAGACGGGGCCGGGTGAGGTGCCTCTCCGAGATTGCGCAATCGCCGGGGTACCGGCAGACGGACTCCCCAATACAAGCACAACATCAAATTAAAGCATCGAAATCTGGTGATGAAGTAACTGGTTTACTGATGATGTCTTCATCGAAACGGGTAATAAATTGATGACATTTGTCTTGCTATGTCGCCATAGTCTTCCAAATTGAGACAGAGGTAAACTGGAACGGCAAAACAAGACAACCAAACAAAGCTGTTGACTGCCGTTAAAACAAACGTGACTATGCCGTTGAAACAAAAGTTTAAACGGCACATTTCGAATTGCAAACGCCAAGCGTGGCCTTGTAACCCGGCTAGGCCTGTTGTTTGCGGTGTGGAACATCGAAACATGGAACAAATATGGCTGAATGCGCGTCGAACCGATCCATATTGATACGGAAATGGTGAATCAAACAGTTCATCAGTTATTTTCTTCATGCACTTTAGCACAGAAACGGTTAGTGTCGATCATTCATTTCGCAACGCAACTGGCTGGCATGACATGAATTTTGCAAGAAGGTACCGTTCTCCAGCGAAACACAAATTGTCTGCGACTGTGGCTGTGCGCCTCACAAGTTTTTATGGGTAGGGTACGGCATGGTATGGTGTGGTATGGTGTGGTATGATATTATAATAGTTATGACATGATATGATAGATATGGTATGGTGTGGTACAGCATGGCACATGACATGACATGGTATGGTATGACATAATGTGGCATGGCATGACATGTCATGTCGAATCATGTTATTTCAGAGCAGGGCAGGACGGGGTCCGGCGGCAGGGCGACAGAGCAGGGCAGGGCAAAGGAGATCAGGGACGGGGCAGGGGCAGGGGCAGGGGCAGGGGCAGGGGCAGGGGCAGGGGCGGAGTCAGGTCAGGTCAGGTCAGGTCAGGTCAGGTCAGGTCAGGTCAGGTCTGGGCGGGTCCACATGTCATGAAGTTTGTCAGCCGCTCAAAGGCTTGCTCCCAAACAGGTATTTTTAGTTCCCTAATTATGACGCAATGTTCCCACCAAGTTCAGTTCTGCACCCGTGCGGGCAAGGTTGTATCATGCTCTTGACGGAGGCTCCGTGGAACGATGATGGGAGCAGCATGCCACATCGCAGTGTAATCGGCTCCATGTCAAGACATTCTGGAGCAGTGAACTGTTTTAGTTCGCCCAGGGCAGAGGTAGCAGCATTTGTATTACTCTTCACTTGTAATTCTGCTTTGAAAACCGGAAAAACCGATTTCTGAGATCACTTTTACCGCTTATCTGATCACGGCAATCGAATCCTCAGCTTGTGTAGGTTATCACTTCGTCGAGCAGCACATACATAACCAACAAAACTAATAACCGGTATCCGCGCAACTAGTGCAATGACAAGGTCATTCAGTCGCTACCAGTAGGCAGTAAAAATCCCCAACCCCACTTTGAGGACCATAGCGATGTCGGGGACGGAGCACCCCCACCCGGGACCGGACCGGCGCCACCTATGGCGGCTCGGGCGGGACGGCGGCGCCGCCTGGTGTCGGCTCGACTGACCGTTGGCCACGGCCAGGTGGAGCGGCGTCAGTCCATCGGCGTCCTGCAGGTCCGGCCGGCTGCCGTTCAGTAGCAGGTGCTGGCACGCCATCACAGAGCCCTGCCGCACAGCAGAGCACAGGTGTCACGGAGGTCCGCCGCACAGCAGAGCACAGGTGTCACGAAGGTCCGCCGCACAGCAGAACACAGGCGTCACAGAGGTCCGCCGCACAGCAGAGCACAGGTATCACATAGGTCCGCCGCACAGCACAGCACAGGTGTCATAGAGGTCCGCCGCACAGCAGAGCACAGGTGTCACGGAGGTCCGCCGCACAGCAGAACACAGGCGTCACAGAGGTCCGCCGCACAGCAGAGCACAGGTGTCCCAGAGGTCCGCCGCACAGCAGAGCACGGGTGTCACAGAGGACCGCCGCACAGCAGAGCACAGGTGTCACAGAGGACCGCCGCAAGCACAGGTGTCACAGAGGTCCGCCGCACAGGAGAGCACAGGTGTCACAGAGGTCCGCCGCACAGCAGAGCACAGGTGTCACAGAGGTCTGCCGCGCAGCAGAGCACAGTTGTTACACAGCCCTGCCGCACAGCAGATCACAGGTGTCACAGAGGTCCACCACACAGCAGAGCACAGGTGTTACAGAGGTCCACCACACAGCAGAGCACAGGTGTCACAGAGGTCTGCCGCGCAGCAGAGCAAAGGTGTCATAGAGATCTGACGTACAGCAGAGCACAGGTGTCACATGTGTCTGTCACATAACAGAGCACAGGTGTCACAAAGGTCCGCCACACAGCAGAGCACAGGCGTCACGGAGGTTTAACGTACAGCAGCGCACAGATGTAACAGATGTCTGTAGCGCAGCACTGCACATTCGTCACAGAAACCTGCTGTACACCACAGCGCATTTGTCACAGAGGCGGACAGGCCTTGCCACAAAACAGGGCAGTCGTCCCAAAGTCCCACTACCCCAGAAAGCATAGCCATCACGGGTCCTCCGTACACAGGCGAACGCAGCAACCCCGGGGGCCATATTAGGTGGTAGCACGCGGCCGCCTGGAAGCCCAGCCGCACAGCATCAGCGACTCACGCTGGTGACGGCCGCGTGGAGGGGCGTGCGGCCGGCGCGGTCACTGTTGGGCCAGCAGGGGTCGGCCCGCAGCGCCAGCGCGCTGCAGATGACCGGCAGGTTGTGCGCCGCCGCCGCCTTCCACAGCAGCATGTCCGGATTCAGGTCACACATGGCCTCCGGGTCTGCCGGCGGTGCCGCGCGGGCTCGGTGAGGCGGGCCGGGAGCGCGGGGCGCGCCGCACCCCGGCTGGGAGCGTGGCGCGACCGAGCGGCGCAGTCGCGGGCTTCTCACCGCGATGTATGGCGGAGCGCGCCTCGCACGTGCCGCACACCAGCACGTCAGCTGACACGCAGGGCGCACCAAGACACGCATGGCGCTCACGACCCAAGCCAACCACCACACTCTGCATGAAGCCCGCCGGCAGTAAGTCACTACACCGTGAACACCGCCGAGCGGGCGGCCCGCGCATGCGCACCGCCGTCGGGCCAGGCGACTCACCGAGCGTCGCGTCGTCCTCGCCGGCCGTCGACTCGTCGCTATCGTCGAGCGGCGGCGGCCCGTCGGCCGGCGGCGGGGGTGGCGCCTCGGCCAGCTGGTCGCCGAACACCAGCAGCCGGTCGCCGCCGGCCGCCTGCTCCGCTGCGCCGTTCGCCGTCGCCGCCATCGTCGCCGCCGCCGCCGCCGCCGTCAATAATGAGCGCGCTGAAGGCGGCCGGCGCGTCGCCGGCGGCTGGCGGCCGGCCGCCAACGCAGACGGTGCGCGGCCGGCGCTCGCTGCTGCGTGGCCGTCGCCGCAGCCGGCGCACGCTCCAGCGGCGCGCCACAGGCGCCGCCGCCGCCGCCGCCGCCGAGCCCGGCGCACCCGGCAGCCGACGCACGAAACGGCACTCGGCGTACTTGGCTCGGATCCACGCCTCGCGCGCACTCCTGCCGCGGGGTGCGGACGTCACCGGGGCGGCCGGAAGACGGGAGCACGTCAGGTCAGACACACGGGGAGAGGGCTGGAGATACAGCCAGGCTCACAGAGCAGCTCCGCCCCCCGGACTGGTGTCGGTGCACCCTCCCAGAAGCGCTTCGTTGTATGCCAACGCGACGTCGCAGGAGGATCAGGCTTCCCGAGTCCGCCCGCTCCTAGTCCGCGGTTGGGACCGGGGCACCAGTGACCCCCGGCGTCTGGCCCCGCCCACCGTCGACGTCGCTGACCTCGGTCAGGTCAAGGTCGCCGGGACTGACCTCTCGGTGTCGGCGTCCGGCCGCTGCCACGCCGGGTCGGGGCACGCCTCGTACACGCCGTTGACGACGGCGTTGCCGAGCTCGGCCATCACGCGCAGGATCTCCGGCTCCCAGGCGTCCAGCGTCAGCGAGCGGATCTTGCTCACTTGCACGCCCAGGCTGCGGTGGATGCCCGAACACTCTGCGCGGCGGTGCCGGCCGTCAGAGGCCCGCGGCTGACACGAAACGGGACTCGTCCAGGGGGGGGGGGGGGGCGGTACTGCGGTCACCACCGCACATACGAAGTGCGTTGCGAGCGCCAATGAGCCAATGAAAACACGGTCAAACACGACCACTCACGCCCGCGCTGGGTTTGCGTCCAACCAAACACGCAAAACGTCGTCATCTACCAGCCAAATCGGGAGAGACCGGGAGAACAAGGCCACGCCGCGCCGACCCACGTGATCAGGGAGGAGGGAGCTCCCCGTCGGTACACCTCGAAGCCGCGCGCGGGCGCTCACCGATGCAGAGCGTGACGCCCAGGTTGATGCTGGCCCAGGTCGGTTCAGCCCGGCCGCAGTCGCAGCACCGCTCGTTGCCGGCCACGCGGCGCACCTGCTCCAGCACGTTGGCGCGGCGCGTCACAACGGGCGCCGGCGCCGGCGACGAGGCCGGGCCGCCGTCGGTCAGCCGCGTCGGCGAGCGCAGCGTCGGCCGGTCGAACGCGGCGCCGATGCCGGCCTGGCGACGGGCGGCGACGCAGCGTCAGGCGGCGCTCGCACGCAGCCGCCGCCGCCGCTCGTGCCACGCGGCGGGGTCACACAGGCAGCGCTGCACGCTATGCGGCGTCGTTTGACGTGCAGTGAAGGCCATATCGGCCGCACGCATCAAGAGGAGCGATCAATGAGGGCGGAGAAGCCACGCCATCCACACGGCGATTGAACGGACGCCCTCTTGACGGCATCTCACGTTCAGGAGCTCAATCCGCCATCCCTCTACACCAATCAGCAGCGCAGTCGTGTCTCGCCCGGGCTGACCTGGAGCGCCTCCACCCAGAGCTTGTAGCTGGGCTCGGAGTCGGCCTGCATCACGTGGCTCTTGAGCGGGGAGACGACCTCGAAGCAGTGTCGCCGGTCGAGCTCGTGCACCGGCTTGACCGTGCACAGCCGCAGGTCCTCCTCCATCATGGTCAGCTCGTCGCCTGCCGGCCGCCGTCGCCGCCCGTCATCGCGCCACGACCCGCCCGAGCGCCAGCACGCAGTCGCGGAGCGCGCATGGACCGCGCTCGCGACAAACAACGCGCCTCACTCCCACTGTTCTCCAGGTGGGCCGACTCCCCATCCAAAAAACAAAACAAAAACGAAAAAACGGGGTATGCTGCGACCCGGCTTCATGGTCAACCGAACTATGTTCGATGGCCATCGCCGCTGTTGCTATCACCCGCTGTATTCGCCGTCCTACCGGTTTCCCAGAGAAAAACCGTCCTGAACGCCCTGACCCCGTACACTCAGCCTCCGCTGTCTTGTCGCTGCTCACCTGTGCGCCGCCGGTACTTGAGCTGGTGGTTCTCCAGCGTGAACCAGCGCCGGTTCCACGTCTTGAAGGCGTTGGTGGTGCGCTTGAAGAGGTAGCCCTCCATGAAGACGCCTGTGTCGGCCGGGCTGGGCCGCTGCGACTGCAGCACGTCTTCGTGCGTCACGTGCGAGTGCACGCCCTCCAGCTGATGCTCCAACACGTCCGTGCCGGCGCGCAGCCCGTCTATCTGCCGACCGCGCCACACGCCCCCGCTCAGCCCGACCCGGGCCACAGGGTACGGGCGGCACCGCCGCGAGCGTACAACACCGCTGGCCCCGGCCAGGGCCCGGTCTGGCACGGGCACGACCAAAGCCGCTGGCGACGCAAGCACGGTGGCGGGCATCGCTGGCTCGGCACGCTCGCAGCCGGGAGCGAGGCGACGTCCAGCACGTCATCAGCTGACGGCGCCAGTCCAGCCGGCCGCCCGGACTTACCTGACTGCTGATCTCCTTCAGCTGCGGCTCCAGGTCCTGGCAGAGGTCGTGGCACTGGTGCGAGAACGTCACCTGGGCCTGCAGATAGCTCCGCATCTGTCGGCACCGCCGGCGGTCAGCCGTCGTGGCGGCGGCGGCGGCGGCGGCGGGCGCCGCTCAACGGCAGGGCGTGGCGAGCGCGCCGCGCACGGCGGTGTGGCCTCGCAGGTGGCGGACATTGCCACATGTCACGAAACAGCAATTAATCGACCCAACGGTCACGGACCGTGATCGGCCAGTCACGAACGCGCTGGAAACGTGTATTCAGGCTTTACGGGGGGCTTTACGGGGGATGCTTCATGTTTACGAGGAGTTCAAACGGAAGATGTATGGTTGGAAAAAGTGCTGCAGTTGGAGCTGCTCTAAGTTACACGATACGTTATATTGAAAAAGTGCGTGGAATACGATCTTGCCACCGCTCAAGTACCGAGCAGAATTAGTTCGCCAAGAACGAGGCTACAATCTCCTGTGAGACTTTAAACACAAAGGGTTATAGCACCACGTTCATACTGGCAGTAATGAGCAGCCCACGGAAACAAACGCGTTCTCACCTTTAGCAGCGTACGCATACGAACATGTACAGGAAACAATGCCATTTGTAGCGGCTGTCCTTGACTACGTCTCATTTTCCTGCTTCAAAGTTATTTTCCCGGGGTTCCGTCCGAAAGGATCAGCGATCGGGATCCTGTCCATGTGCTGCGCTCGTGTTGCGCATGCAAAGTTGTCGCCCCCCCCCCCCCCCCCCCTTCCCCCCCTCCTCATTCGATGCACGCGACGGGAATGCACGGTGCAGACCGGTCTGCTAGGATTAACATAGCTTACTGGGTCGCCCGCCGCAGATGCCGTGAGTGATGGTACCGGATGTGGCACTGGATATTGCAGTTTAGCCATTTCATTTAAGACCAGTGTGCCAACGGTGTACCAACGGTGGTCTACAGGAAAAACCCATCAGTGTGAACCGGGCATTCCAGATGCTGGTACAAAAATAATACGAGCTTTGCGGCCGCGGCGATGCCGTCCGTCTTACGCATATGGGTGTGGTGATGTTTCAGCGTGTGCTTCGGCCGCTCCCAACCGCGCGCATTGCGCGCAAGTACCTCAGAGAACACAGATCACGAGCCTTTTTCTGCCAATCATCATTTGCGCGCGAGCGGCGCGCGCGGAGAATGAACAGGCCGCAGGCACTTCATCAACGAGGTCGCAACCGAAGACAAAGCACGCCCATATAACACCTCAGCACAGCACGAGGCGCGTATTCTCCACTGGCACCAGTTACGGGCCGCGCCCTGTGCGCTGCTATCGGTGCGAGGGCGGCCGGGGTGCTGCCGGTGCCGCCACTGACCGTGTCCAGCACCTCGCGCTGTTTGCGGGACTGGAGCAGCGAGACGGCGCGAGGGCCACTGGGACGCTGCCGGCGCCGCCACTGACCGTGTCCAGCACCTCGCGCTGTTTGCGGGATTGAAGCAGCGCGACGGCGCGAGGGCCACTGGGACGCTGCCGGCGCCGCCACTGACCGTGTCCAGCACCTCGCGCTGTTTGCGGGATTGAAGCAGCGCGACGGCGCGAGGGCCACTGGGACGCTGCCGGCGCCGCCACTGACCGTGTCCAGCACCTCGTGCTGTTTGCGGGACTGGAGCAGCGAGACGGCGCGAGGGCCACTGGGACGCTGCCGGCGCCGCCACTGACCGTGTCCAGCACCTCGTGCTGTTTGCGGGACTGGAGCAGCGAGACGGCACGCAGATAGTCGAGAGCCGTGTGACGGAAGCAGGTGCGGTGCGCCTGCACCAGGTTGGCCGTCTCCTCCAGCTGCGGCACGGCAGGGGACGGACAGGTCAGCGGGACAGCGATGCAAGACTTCCCTTACAGTAACACTGCGCCTGAACGTGCGTGGGGAAAAAGGAAGGGCGATCTGAACAGGCAGACAGTGCCATTTGTCATCCTGGTATCCCGATACTACAGGGTGCTCCATTTAAACTGTTAATTTTAAAAAGGCATTGCAGGGCGTTTCATTTGAAACTTTTGTGCTAAAGAGGTTGAGACTTGTATAAAGTGACACTTATTCATATTTTCATCATAGACTCTTAAACATTGGTACATTCTTGTTTTCATCATCACTACCCATCTGCCTGGCAAAACGTCTCCACCACAGCCCCCCCCCCCCCCCCGCGGACACGAACACACTTCTCGAGTTTCCAAAATGACCCACGCCTGCTAAGGCTGTTGGTGTCTTGCAAATGACGCGTTTAGCCACTGAGCGTGGGGACGGGAGCCTGTCTATCTAATTCCCAGATCACACTGGCAGCGTGCAAGCATCCTCACTTGCACTGCTACAAAAAACGCTTTAAGTGGAACAACCAGTACTGTCATCTGTAAGTCTTTTAAAAAAGTTTCAGTGTCACCATCTATCCAAGGAATGCGGATTTTGAGGGATTTGAGAACAGCGTGATGGCATGTGGGTAGTGTCCAGTAGATCAGAGGCCATGCAGTTACAAACATGACTAAAATCACGAAATCGTAGCAACACCGGTGATTAATGTATCAGTTCTGCCACACCAAAGTTCTTTCAAACTCCTGAATTTAAAACATCTGCAGAGACCAAAACCTGTGTCCACTTCATTGCTGGAATCTCAGTGTCAGAAACATCAGCCTGAGAAAAATCACACAAACAGACACAGCCGACCTCAAGGAGCAAACAGCCATGACAACCAGCTGGAACCCGCACCAGTGGCGCCCCCTGGAACCGACCTAGTGCCCACCCGGAGTCGGCCCTCCACTGACCTCCTGCGGGCGTCCTTTGGGCGCCTGGGCGTACCGCGTCAGCGCCGTGTCCAAGTCGCCTGAGATGTGCTCGAAGCTCTGGCGCGTCTCTTTCAGCTGGCGGATGTCCCTGCCGGCGGACCGGAGGCGAGCCAGCGTGACGTGCCGGGACATGCTGGAGCGCTCGGCCGGCCGTCGAACCTCTTCCTCCCCCCCCCCCCCCCTCTCCACAGGACGACGGACCCCGCAGGGGACTGGGGGAGGCAGCTCGCGGCCCAGCGACGCCACGCGCTCAGTCAAAACTAGCGGGGCAGCACAAACCGGGCCAGGCGGCACTGGAACACGACACCGATCTCAGCCAGCGCCGAGCACATCGCCACGGAGGCATCCCCAACCGCGCGTGGTCGTCGCCCAAAACGGACATTTGGGACGAACGGAGAGTCGACTGCCGTTGTTGGGATGGCGCCCGACTTCGCAGGCGCCTCGCGACCTGTCGGGGCCGCGTGACCGGGGCGTGCACTCACGTCTTGAGCATGGTGCCCAGATTGCGGCTGATGATGCGCGCAGCCTGGTCCACCAGGTGGCCCTGGTACTTCTGGAACTCGGCCAGCGCGTGCAGCAGCTGGTGGAAGCTAGCTGATATGGCCGGCTCCTTGAAGTGGCCGGCCACATCCCACAGCGAGACCAGCAGATGGCTGTGGGGTACAGGATGGGTGTTGGCTCGAGTGTGCTGGCCAGCTGGCCAGCTGACATGGCTTATTAACTTTTATCTGTGATTGTAGTCATTGCTCCTCATGCACACAGTACATTGTGGCAGTACACAAATGCACACAACCATATATTGGTTTGTTACTGCAGCTGAACTAAATTACAACTTGCATTATTTTCAGCAAAATAACTGCAGCAGCTGTTCCAGTAATTATTCCCTGGAACCTGCTATGTACAACTATGGGCTCTCAATGTGCCCACCATGGATGAAACTTCTTTGGCTGAAAAAGCAGCGCAGCAGCACTGGGATCACAGCTGTGTGTGGTACGATCCCTTTAATTGACCATATTTTTGCTGTTCAAATTTCCATGTGCAGTTAGAATGCAAAAGGTCACTTACTTTTGAGAGGTGGCAAACTGGCGACCACTTTCCACCATGATTCCACAGTTCTTGACAGCTTTTTCTAGACGACCCTCAAGATGTTCTATGTTCTTTTCATTCTCAAGTAAACTTTGCCTGAAACATACCAAGCATATCAAATGTATGAGGAAGGGGGAATACACAGTGATATGATAAGAGAGCAATTATGTCTGCCCAGGTATAGTTAGTCAATATCAATGCAGATATCAACACTGGATTCCTTTCTTTTGCTCTCAACCTATCCATTCAGCACAACAAGGCATGTGAACATGTGAGCACTACTGAGTTAAATCAAGCTAATCATATTTTTAATCATACAATGTGTGAAGCATGATTCTTCATTTTCATGCATTCATTTCAAGTACCAGGCTGAGCATCACCTAAACTTTGGAGAATCTCTCAAGCACTCATTGATGTCTATCAGGAGGTCCATCTGCTTCATCATCACTGGTAGAGAATACAAATGTATGTTCACTGCTGCTGTCTTTTTAATCCATTTCATTCACTGAACCCTGCAAAGAAATATGATAATGGGTTAGAGTTTGCATGATGTTTTACCATCCATTCTCCAGCAATCCATCACCAAATGGCATATGGGTAGCTCAGTTTGCAAGCCACTAATCATGCCATGTCAATAAGGCACATGGTGGGATTCCCTGTGGTGCCCATCCTTCCCGCCAGGATGACAAGCAGGCAATGCCATATAGCTCACAAGCCGAGTGTGCTCTAAACCTCCAACGAAAACATCTCACATCAACATATCAGGCTTGCTGATGAAATATCTTTGATCTCTATGTAACAAAAACTGGTGAATTGACAACAGACTTCTTCCTTCTCTTTTTGAAGCAATTGCAACTGGTAGATGCAATTGGGTGGTCAGGGATTTTGGATACTCACTGGGCAGACATGACCCTGGAGGTATTTACATGCCAAAAATTGCTGCAGCATAGCCACTGCAGGTCTGAGTTGACTTTGGTCTCACTTGAGAGCTAACTCATATCCTGTATAGATCAACTTAGGCAGTTGCCAACTGACCTTTCCTGTTAGTTTTGCAACATCATGTGTCCTGCCCTAGGGCTCAAACCTGATCCCCTGAATCATAGACAACACTTCTATGAACCCATGGCATCAATATCAAGCACTTCAGTTATGTAAAATAGCATTATTTAATGGTAGAAAGATTACAGAGGTTTCTGGTTTAGTTTTGGATATTATCCAATTACCTGCATTTCTGGCATGTTTGTTTAGCTACCAATTATGCTCAGCCACCTAATAACTGCAGAATAAGGATCCATGAATGATTACAAAGGAAATACATTATCACACAGGTGAGATCTCATGAGTTGTGTACTGCTGGTCCAGTGTCATGTGGTGCATGCAACAGCTCCAACGTGGGGCTGTTGTTGATCGGGTCCTGCCCTATCAATATCCCAACAGCCCCCAGCCCCACACCAACACACAAACTGCTCCCACCATCAGCTGACATTAAGGAATGCAAATCATGGTAGCAATGTATAAAAACTGATTTGAATACACAATAAGCACACAAAAATATGAATCACAAAAAGCTTATAATGCAACAAGTGGATCAACAAATCATGCTATTAACATCACCATAACTTCTCCTCTCCCTGTCAATACCATAACAATACCTTGTTCCACAAAGTACTACTTCTACAGTATCACAAATATATAATGTCTGACTGCACTTTGGAAACCAGCGCAGACTGCCCAAGGGCTTTTGGGGAGGCAGTGGTGGTAAAGTGGCAAGGGCACTCAGCTCTGGACTGGTCAGTCTTGGATTTAACCACCTCCTATGCTACTGCTGCATCTCAGATACCTAAAAGAGGCATTGACCTCTAAATGGCCTATGTCATCTATAAGATGTATAGTGCCAATCATTATTATTATTATTATCACTGCACCTCAATAGCCATAATTTACAGACTGCTTGTGACTTTACCTGGTTCCTGAGTCACATTGTAAGCTAGCAGGCTGAAAGACTAACACTCATGAACATAGTGGGCGACAAGTGTAAGAAGGCCACAGGAAGCTGGTCAGCAAAGAATTCATCCACTGTGCCAGACAATTAGTGGCAATGGTGCTCAGAAGCTTGTGCTTTCCTGTGCCAAACTGGCCAGGTCCAACATCTCCAAGTTGTCAAATGCTTTTGGCATGACAAATATTTTTGGATTATGGTTACCTGAAATTGCCTTTGAGGCATCAAAATCCCCTAAAACATCAGCTCGCAACACTCTGAAATTGGCGGCCACTGTCTGCCAAACTCTTGAGTGCTTGGATACACCGTGTTTTTAATTCTAAAGTGCCTGCATTTATGATGTAACTGAAATCATTGCCTGAGATGTTGCTGCTATGCCAGACATGTTCACCATAGAATGATATTTTCCAGCATGGCAGTAAGCATAGGGACAACCGAACTTTAAGTGTTCGTATTTCCATGCATTATCACATGGCTCATGTGACTAATCATCAAGAAGTGGGAGGGACACAACCCTTCTCACAACTGAGTTCCTGCGCGCACGCCCACGGTTCCCACCCAGGGATATAATACACCTAAGCACCACAAAATTGGAAAAGGAACTGCACTGATGACACAGAAACAGCTTGACACATTATTTCCTAAATGGCTTCCTTACATCAATCATCTAAGGCACATACTCGCGTTAAAACACATGCATTACAACCACGTTATCTCCAGCCCCTTGTTGGCTCCACACTAACCACGATTAACCACAACAAAAGTAAACCTGGAATAGCCAGCGCAAGGCAAAGATGAGTCACATTGGGCCAAATGTGGCGCGATGGAAGTATGACGAACTATACAGTAGCATGGTTCTGCTCGGTTCTGCCCTGGTTCTGCCTTAACTGGTTTTGATGAAATGATGCCTGCGAATGCAAGTTTCAATGAATAGCGATGCACATATCATCAGATGCGGGTTGCATCTTTATCTACCTCCTGTAAAAACTGTGGCCAGACCTGCAAGCTTTCAGCGTCAAAAGATGTAAAGAAAATGCAGTTTCATCCGTCGCCCATTTGTTTTGGTATACGACATGTACCATATGTCATGCGTCATATGCCGGAATGTATAATTTAGACAGTTAATTTGTGCATCGGATGTACATAATGTTTTAAGTCGGTAGCACGCGGCCGGAGACACAAATGCAACAAAAACTGATACGGATATCTACGTGATTCAAAACGGGGAGCGCTTAAAAAGAAGATGCTTTACCTGATTTCCATGGTGTGACTGTATAAAATACTGTTGAACAACCACATGCAATAGAACTGTGAATGCGGCACCGATCTTGGCGCAGATAGCAGATGGCCCGAGTGTCGGGGGGCAGCTAGGTGCCGCGGAGGGGTCGTCGGAGTGACGCTCAAATACAAGGCTCAAGTAGTGCTTGCGGTGTACATCACCTTGGTACGTAAGGAACGCTTGTGGTGCGCAGATGTTGTGTTGAGGGTAGTGGTTAGATACGAGTCAAGTGCGGACGCATCCAAAAGTGATAGTATGAGAGTATGAGTTGATATCTGAGGAAAATTATCACTTCGCTCTTTGGTGTAAACAAATAAATGTACCAAGCAATTAGTGCCCTTTCCCCCGATATTGTGCTATAATTTGTGTCAAGTTTGGGGTCTGATGGGGTGATCAGTCTGTGTTTCATGATGTTTCTACACACTGGCAGGGGAGATATTCATGATAACTGAGCATACTAGGTTAATGGGTCAGATGAAAAAGTTCTCAGTCTTCCTCCAGAATAAAAAAAGACCATTGCATAACATTGATCAGGCATCAAGCACAGCAGCCTCAGTGCAGCCACAATTTCAGTGCATGTGCTCTGCGAATTTGAGCCCTCAAGAATTTTGTTCAGTCACCACCCAAGGATTTATGATGATCTGCCTTGTCTTACATTCTTGTGATACCCATTCATCAGTGGTAGACTATGCATCAGTCAGAGTGGGCCAGGTGGTCCCTGGTGGGGCCTTCCGAGGGTCCAGCACAGGCCTCATCAGGGGTCCCTGTGCGGTCTATCATGACATATTGGCTGTGGGCCCGGGTGTTGGTAGTTCTGCCCCACCTATACCTATTCTTCTTCATCCCATAGACCTGAGTTGTTGTGAAGAGTGACCAGAAGGTCTAATCCAACAACCTAAAGGAATTGTAAGGTGTAAAATTAATTTCATCAAAAGAAATGCTTTCAGAACACCACTAAAGCAAAGCTTATTGGTAAGTGCAGCACCATTTAGTCTGACCTTAGTTTGGTGCATGCAAGTGCTATGTCAGGGTATCAGTGTTGCATAAGCATCCAGCACAGAGAAAAACTTTTTGGCATGTGCTTGTTTGTTTGTGTTTTTATGCACTGATCATCATGCTGTCTGCATATGTTCTCAATATATGCATGAATTTGTTGCTTTCAAAATGTTGTACCTTAAATTATCATGGCTCTTCTAATTCACATAAATTTGATGAATGTGAGGATAGCCTGTTTATCATGAGGTGGCATATTTCTTGCTGGTGTCAGTGACCCTCTCTCCCCCCCCCCCCCCCCCACCCCACTGACACACCTCTCCACTCCAGGGATCACATAATGTTTAGCCAAGAGCCAGTGCGAAGCCGCACATTTACGCGTGGCGGCCGGCCGGGCCGAGGACGAGGCGGCGCGCGGCGCGGCGGCGGCCGACGCGAGCCACCGCCGCCAGAGGAGGAGGAGCGGCCGGCCGAGGGCGTGCCGCGCGGCGGCGCCCGGCCGCGCCCGCAGTGGCGGCCGCGGCAGGGGCTGCTCGGCGCGGCGCCGGCCGCCGGTCGCGCCCGGGGCCGCGGCCGGGCCGGGTACGGCGCGCCGCCGCCGCCGCCGCCACCGCTGCTGCCGGCTGGCGGCGTCTTCAGCGCGCCGGTGGTGGCCTTCTTCAACGGCACGCCGCCGCCGCCGCTGCTGGAGCTGACCGGGGTGGTCGGCGGGCCGCCCGGTGAGCCCAGCCACGGCGACTATCGGGACAACCGCCAGTACAACGGCCACCGGGACCCCCGGCCGGCCTACGACCACCGCGACAACCGACTGTTCGGCGAGTACAGGGCCAACAAGCCGGCGTACGAGTACGGAGACGACCCGCGGCAGTACGGCGGCTACAGGGGCGGCCGGCAGGTGTATGAGACCGGCTGGGAGGGGCAGCAGCGGCCGTACGCCGACTATGTGGAGCCCGTGCGGCGGCAGCGCGGCGGCCGACGGCCGGCCGGCAGACCACAACGGCCGCCGCCCCAGCGCAAGGTGAGCGTCGGTGCGGCCCTTCCTGCCGCGCTGGTGAGAGGCCTGGCGTCGAACGTGCGGCCGCCTGACTGAGAGTTGTGGCATGCGAGGCGAGGCTCTTGTGACTGAGTCGGCTCGCTGCGCGTCGCAGCGGAGGCTTCGCGTAGATCGGCCGTCCTGTGTTCGAGTTAGGCCGCCCCCCCTCCCCCCCCCCTGGTGTCCGTTTTTGACCGTCCGCTGGTATCCGTGTCTGACTGTCCCTGGTGTCCGTGTCTGACCGCCCCTGGTGTTCCTGTCTGGCCACCCCCTGATGTCCGTGTCTGTCCGCCCCCTGGTGTCCGTGTCTGACCGCCCCCTGGTGTCCGTGTCTGACCGCCCCCTGATGTCCGTGTCTGACCGCCCCCTGGTGTCCGTGTCTGACCGCCCCTGGTGTTCCTGTCTGGCCGCCCCCTGCTGTCCGTGTCTGACCGCCCCCTGATGTCCGTGTCTGACCGCCCCCTGGTGTCCGTGTCTGACCGCCCCCTGGTGTCCGTGTCTGACCGCCCCCTGATGTCCGTGTCTGACCGCCCCCTGATGTCCGTGTCTGACCGCCCCCTGGTGTCCATGTCTGACCGCCCCCTGATGTCCGTGTCTGACCGCCCCCTGGTGTCCGTGTCTGACCGCCCCCTGGTGTCCGTGTCTGACCGCCCCCTGGTGTCCGTGTCTGACCGCCCCCTGATGTCCGTGTCTGACCGCCCCCTGATGTCCGTGTCTGGCCGCCCCCTGGTGTCCGTGTCTGACCGCCCCCTGGTGTCCGTGTCTGGCTGCCCCCTGGTGTCCGTGTCTGACCGCCCCCTGGTGTCCGTGTCTGACCGCCCCCTGATGTCCGTGTCTGACCGCCCCCTGATGCCCGGCAGGGGGAGTCGGTGGTGGCCCGCGCGCCCTCGCCGTCGGAGGCTGACCTCGGCCAGCGGGAGCGCATGGTGGAGCAGCTGTCGCACGGCCGTTACGAGTGTCTGGTCTGCGTGGACCCCATCAAGCAGACCGACCCCGTCTGGAACTGCCAGAGCTGCTTCCACGTCTTCCACATGGGCTGCATCCGCCGCTGGGCCAAGTCGTCCAAGGCCGGTGGGTGACGTGCCAGGCCCTGGGGGTCGATGGGTGCGTGGGTCAGCACCATCCTTGCTCTCCCCCCACCCGATGTAGATGACGCTATGCTCTGCACACTCAAGTGTGGCTGCTGCTGGTTGTTGTCCACCTGTTGTGATGGTCATGATCTGCATGGTAGTTTTCACCTTGTGGAGATGGCACAATACCACCAATGCTGCCCGTATACGCGGCCCAAATCTCATGTTATCAGTGCCCGAAACTCCTCATGTAGTGAGGTGACCGGTGGCGTCTCTGTGGGCAGAGTCGGGCGGCTGGCGGTGCCCGGCCTGCCAGAACGTGACAGCCGCGCCACCCACTGCCTACAAGTGCTTCTGCGGCAAGGTGCGCGACCCGCCCTGGAACCGACGGGACACGCCTCACTCCTGCGGAGAGGTCAGTGACACCCGACCAGCTGATCTGCGCACATGTCCGCCGATCGCTCCCTCCACGCGTGTGACGTGGTATGTGTCGCGCCTCGCTTCCACCAGCGGCATCACACGCCTACCTGTCAGTATTATACGTGTCAGTTATGCCTGGAGTGCGGCTTGAGTGTATCCCAACCGTTGCCGTGGTCAAACCATGTCCGGTTCGTGGCTCCAGCACATCCTAGCCACGACAGCCGTTCTTGCGGTAGTCATGCGGTGAGGCACGGTTTACTGTAGCCATGTTTCCATGTCAGGTACGCCTTTCATGCACACCCCGCTTGTGCCCCGTGCTGCGTCTGCGCGCCCAAACGCCCCACGTCTGCCCGGGGCGTGCCCGACCTGTTGGGTCCGTCCCCACGTCTGCCCGGCGTGTCGGGCCTGCCCCGCGTCTTTTCGGCCTGTCGGACCCTTATTTGCGTCTGCCCGGTCTGTGCCTGACGTGAGGGCACCCCCTGCTCCAGGTGTGCGGCCGCAGCCGGGCTGACGCGGGTTGCACGCACCGCTGCACTCTGCTCTGTCACCCGGGCCCCTGCCCGCCCTGCGCCGCCTCCGTCAAACGGTGAGGAGGCCGGTCCGGAGCCGACGGTCCGGCCGCCGGCTCGGGGAGGCCGCTGTGCTCAGCGTGGTGGGTCGGGACGGGTGGGGTGCAGACTGTCTGTCGGGCCGGGACGTCAGGACGCTGCTGCGACGGAGGAGGATACGACGCGACGACTCAGGATACGTAAGGAAGTTCCTCGCTGGAACGGTGTGGCCCACGGGTTGGAGATGTAATCACTTGTGGAATATAAAATTCGGTGTGCAACTGACATACGGTGCGACGATCGCCTCTGCTTTGCATGCATCTTGAGCTCAGAGGCGCCCGTGCAGACGGTCTGACAACATGCACGCCAATCGGAACGGGTCGGCGCCACTGACATGCTCGCGGCCGCTGGACACCGACCGCTGCGCGCCGGCCTGTCCGTGCGGCGAGCTCACGTCCGTGCGCCGCGGCAGGTCGTGCCCGTGCGGCAAGAAGACGGTGGACATCCGGTGCGAGCTGGCCGCCGCCCTGACCTGCGAGGACACGTGCGGCCGGCTGCGCAACTGCGGCGTGCACACGTGCGAGCGGCCGTGCCACGTGGGCGACTGCGACGCCTGTGACGTGCAGCTGGAGCTTGGTGAGTGCCTCCCGCCCCGGCCTTGGGGGGGGGGGGGGCGGCGGGGGGGGGGGGGGGGTGTCCGCGATGGCGTGCAGGGCGTTTCCGCTCAATGGTTTACTTTCGGACGGCTTACTATCGTGTCGAGCCGTGCATGTTGTATGTGGCGTAATAGTTTGATGCGGCTCATGAAGCAAGCTGGTAAATTGATTGGCGGGAAGCCCACAAGTCTTGCCCACGTCAATAGTTTAAACAGCGTGTAGATGTGTAACCCAAGTCTTGAGTTGCTCTGCGCCCTGCGAGTCCAACATTTGGGATGTGCGTGTTTAGCATGTCATGAACTTTGTTTCTTTTGTTTCATCATTCATCATATCTCCATTACCGATTCGTTGGCGCTGCAATGCGCTCGTCGGTATGGACATCCCCTGGCAGGGACACTTTACGACACAAGTCTGTGCTGCACCCGTTGTTGCTCTGCATCAACCGGTCCGCTCATTCCGCGTCACGATGTGTGCGTTCCGCCCCGCCGCGTCGCGCCGCGTGACCCCACCCCGTGACAGCCTCGCCCTCCCTGCCGCCAGTGTGCTTCTGCGGGAAGGTGCGACGCGAGGAGGTGTGCTCGGCTGACACGGCCGCCGCCGGCCCGTTCTGCTGCGGCGGGGTGTGCGGCCGCCAGCTCGCCTGCGGCCGCCACCCCTGCGACAAGCTGTGCCACGAGGGCGACTGCGGCCCGTGTCTGCTGAGCCCGGCGCTGGTGAGGACGGCGGCCCGCCGCGGCCGGTGCCGCCGCCGGACGGTCCGCCTCGAGCTCTGTGTGGGCGGCGCACCGGCGAGCGGCGGGAGTTGCGTCGGGGGCGACGGCGCCGGTGGGGCCGAGTCGGCCGCGTGTGTTAAAATGATCTGATGCGGGCGGGCCACCCCTCTCCGATGCCGGGCTATTTGTGATGGGGAGGTTCTGATGCTGTGATGATGACTGTTCTTCCCTGAGACACCTTCCCTGTAGGTAGGAGTCTGGCACTGTACCTACTCAGTTTGCGCAATGTGCATCGTTCGTAACGTTCCACTTCTTGTCTCAAATAACCTTGCTCCAAACGTTGCGTCGCAATGTCTCTTAAATTGGCCGGTGGCGCTTCAACCACGTGCAAGGCATCGAGATGGGTTACCGTCAGATGGCGACCGCACGATATTGGCGGGTTAGGTCGTGCTTCGCGCGATCCGACCGGCCTGCGGCCGTGCAGGCCGGTCCCCGCCGTGCCCGGCCTGAGCCGGCGCGCCCTGGCCGCAGGTGGAGCGGTGTCCGTGCGGCGCGCGGCCCCTGTCGGAGCTGGCGGCTCCGGCGCGCGCCGTCTGCACGGACCCGGTGCCGACGTGCGGCGGCGTGTGCGGCCGCCAGCTGAGCTGCGGCCGGCCGGGCGAGCCGCACCGCTGCCGCGCCGCCTGCCACGCCGGCGCCTGCCCGCCCTGCCCGCGCCAGACGCCCGTCCGCTGCCGCTGCGGCTTCATGGACCGCGAGCTGGCCTGCGCCGAGCTCACCACGCGCGCCGACGACGCCCGCTGCCAGAAGCGCTGCACCAAGGTGAGCGGCGCGGGCCGGCGGGGTATGCAGGCTCGGGTTACGTGCCGCGAAGCAGCGGCTTTGTCCGCGGGAATGCGGTTCTCGTTTTGTTTGTGGACGCTGTATGGCGCGTCTCGTGGAAACACCCTCTGACACATCCCAGTAGTATATCACGACTCCACGCACCGCGGACTCTGCTGGCGATCACACCCGCGTTGTGCACCGCGTGCGGCGCCGGGTGCAGCGTCTGACGGCGCGTGGCGCGCGCGCCGTCGGCAGAAGCGGAGCTGCGGCCGCCACAGATGCGGCCAGGAGTGCTGCATCCAGCTGGACCATCCGTGCCCGCTGGTGTGCGGCCGGAAGCTGAGCTGCGGCCACCACACCTGCGAGGAGCCATGCCACGTGGGCCAGTGTCGGCCATGCCTGAGAGCCAGTCAGTACCGCGCCAGCGCAGCCGGCGGGCAGGCACGCACGCCGCGGGGGCGAGGGTCGCGCGGCAGGCGGCCGACAGCCGCTGAGGAGGCGTTGACCGACGGAGCGTGGGGCGGCTTGGTTGTTAGTTGCCGTTGTGAACTGGCTCTGCTTGTTTGAACGTGTGACGTTTCATGCAGCTGCTGTTGGTTTAGTAGCATGTGGGTGATGTACGCGTGCAGCGGGGATTAAGGTGTCTGAAGTAGTTGCGTCCTGGTGTTAACCTCTAAGTTTCGGTGTGTTTCGTCGCTCGCTATTTCACCGCAGCCGTTGGCGCGGCGTTCGTTCGGCTCTACGGCGGGTGACCCATCTCCCCGCGCGTCGGCCAGGTTTCGAGGAACTGTACTGCGAGTGCGGCGCCAGCATGCTGTATCCGCCGGTGCAGTGCGGCACGCCGCCGCCGCCCTGCAGCCAGCCGTGCTCCCGGCACCACCCGTGCGGCCACCCGGTCCACCACAACTGCCACAGCCAGCCAGAGTGCCCGCCCTGCACGCAGCTCATGAAGAAGAAGTGCTACTGCGGCCACGAGGTGGGACGGAGGTCGGACGTCCGATGTCGCCACCCGACTGGAGCGGGCCGCGTTGACGTGCTGTGCCCTGGCTGACGCCGGTACTCGGATGTGTCGGCCGGACCTAGTGGCTTGGAGGCGGCTCGAGGCGCGGTTTGGATGACGTTTTCGGCGCCCTGGCGTCGCAGATCGGCCGCGGGTCACCAGGGCGCCGTGTTGATCAGCGACTGTCCGTCCTCTCACCGACACCTGACAACCGGCGGTCCGTGTCGCAGGAGCGGGGCAGCGTGCCGTGTCACCAGACGGCCGTCTCCTGCGGCCGGCCCTGCGGTGCCCCTCTGCCCTGTGGCCGACATAAGTGTAAGGTGAGTGCCGGCGACCGGACCCGTGCCCTTCCCCGGCGGCAGGCGCAATTCCGTCAGCGGGTTTCGTGCGTAGCCCCCGAGACGCTATAAAATGCCTCGGGACATCGCTTCGCGACTGAGCTTGACCTTGTTTCGTTTGTTGTGAAAGCGTAGGAGGCATAAATGGCGCAGGCCAGACGATTCGTGCTCGCCGTAAATAAACTGAGACGTGTTCTCAGAATGTGGCGTGGGCGAGGCGCCGAAGTTGCTCGCCCTAAGCGGCACCAGCGGTTGTGATCTATCTCGCGCGGATCTGTTCACCTGTGGGCCACGGCGAGCAACAGCTGCTGTTCGCAGTCCCCAGGGGGTGTGATCTTTGGGAGCGAACTGGGTAGCGGGACCCCCGCGGAAGCTGGCTTGTTATGCTCCTTTCGGCCCTGAATAGCCGACGTCCTTCTGAAGCTGGCCTTCGTTTGGGCGGCGCGGCTCCGCCCTCGGCTCCAATTTTGTGGCGATGGCACTAAGCAGGGGACCAATGGGCGCATTTCCGGACATCGAATCCGTGCCTAGTTACGCACATAAGCTTTCACGGCACGAGCTCTCCGCGCCAGAGAGTGTCCCCGCTCCCAGAGGTCAGCCCCGTCGCTTGGCTTCCGGCCGTTTGTCTGAGCAATTGGAAGCAGCAAACCGGCTGGGACGCTGTTTGTCTCTGACGGGGCCTTGTTATTCACACCCACGCTGTAACGAGGTCAACAACGCCCCCGTCGGTTTTCGAGCCCGGCCCCACAGCTGCCGCCGATCGGAGTGAGCATCAGCGAACCTGCCAGATCTGGTGGCGCCCGGCAGGCGCCGCACTGTCCCCCGGCTGATCGCGGCCCCCGACCCGAGTGCTCCGCGTGCTGACGCCGCCCCCGCCGCCCCGGTCAGGAGCCGTGCCACCCGGGCGCCTGTCAGGAGGTGGAGTCCGGCTGCCGGCAGCCGTGCGACACGCCGCGGCCCGAGTGTCGCCACCCCTGCGCCGCGCCCTGCCACGACGGGGACTGTCCGAAGACGCCCTGCAAGACCAAGGTGAGGGCCCGGCGCCAAACCAAATGGAGTTGGTGAGAGTGAGGTGCTTTGTTTGGGATGTGCCGGCTGGCCGGTCCGATCCATCTGACAGCGTAATTCATAGATGAACGGGTTTTTGTTTTACGTTCCACCGTGTGATTATATTGCGTGTTTGCGGCCTTGGGAGCCTGAGCGGCCACGCTTGCCGCCCCGGTCCCCGGCCGGTGCCAGCGCGGGCCGGTCCCGCGGCCGGACCGGCGTCCCTGCTGATGGTGCGTTGTCAGCCGGCCCGGCCGGTGCGGGGCCTGTCTTTGTCGTCATCGTCCGCGGTCATTCGCGCTCCGCTCCGCCGGCGTCGATGGTAGTCGCCGGCTGCCGGCCACCCCGACCGTCGCCGCTGACCGTGACCGCGTGACCCGGCAGGTGCCGGTCAGCTGTGAGTGTGGCCACCGCTCGCGCACGCTGGCCTGCAGCGACACGGGCGCCTACCGCTCGCTCAACACGTCACTGATCGCGTACAAGCTGGCGGCCATCCAGGCGGGCGGCGCCACCGTCGACGTGTCGGAGCTGATGTCGGGCTCCGCGCCCGGCAAGAACTCCAGGGCCAAGGCGTGAGTGGACCGCGCCCGGCCGGCGGGACGCGGGCGCGATCGCCGCCGTGCCTGCCGGCGCGCCGCAGCTGTAGGGAGGCGTACTTCGGTGGTACATGTGGTGACACTAAACAAAGCACGGCTGTGACCCGCACCGGGCCGGTCACAGGTCACGCCCTCCGCCGGCTCCGGAGCGATGACGATGACGTGGACGATGTGACCTGATCGCACCGCGACAGTGTGATCGGCGCCGGTCTGCTGTTTGTGCAGCGTGCGACCCCCCCCCCCCCCCTCCCCCCTCCCGACGTCTCGTGCGTGCTGCCGTTGTTCGTCAGTCCGCAGTGTGGCGCCGAGCTTATGCTATGCCGTTACTGTCCCGCGGTAACCATCGGCGAGCGTCTGTTATCCCGTCACTGTTCTTCGTGAACCACCGCCGAGTGTCTGGTATCCCATCGCCGTCCTTTGGTAACCACCGGCGAGTGCCTGTTATCCCGTGGCTGTCCCTTGGTAACCATCGGCGAGTGTCTCTTATCCCGCTGCTGTCCCCCGGCAACCTCTGCTAAGTGTCTGTTATCCCGCCGTGGTCCCTTGGTAACCACCGGCGGGTGTCTTATCCCGCTGCTGTGCCCCGGCAACCCCTGCTAAGTGTCTGTTATCCCGCCACGGTCCCTTGGTAACCACCGGCAAGTGCCTATTATCCCATCACCATCCTGCGGTAACCGCCGGCGAGTGCCTGTTATCTCGCGGCTGTCCCTTGGTAACCACCGGCGAGTGTCTCTTATCCCGCTGCTGTGCCCCGGCAACCTCTGCTAAGTGTCTGCCATCCCGCCGCGGTCCCTTGGTAACCACCGGCGAGTGTCTCTTGTCCCGCTGCTGTGCCCCGGCAACCTCTGTTAAGTGTCTGTTATCCCGCCGCTGTCCCTTGGTAACCACCGTTAAGTGTCTGTTATCCCGCCGCTGTCCCTTGGTAACCACCGCTAAGTGTCTGTTATCCCGCGGCCGTCCCATGGCAACCACCGCTGGGTGTCTGCGATGCCGTCCTCGCGCCGCGTGACGCCCGTCCCCCGGCCGGCTCCCGCCGCCAGCAGTCTGCAGTGTAACGCGGAATGCGCGGTGCTGGAGCGGAACCGGCGGCTGGCGCTGGCGCTGCAGATTCGCAACCCGGAGCTGTCGAGCAAGGCCGGCCCGCCCACCTACCCGCCCTCCATGCTGGACATGGCGCGCCGCGCCAAGGGCCTGGCCGAGGAGGTGCACCAGCAGCTGACCGACCTGGTCCAGCTGGCGCAGCAGGTGAGCCGGCGGAAAGGCAGGGCGAGTTAGGAGAGAGCATAGGAGAGAGAACGACTTCCGTGTCGTCGGCGGCTGGGGCGCTCGGACGGGCGCAGCTTGTGGTGTGCCATGTTAGAGACTGTACACTGGGCTCTGTGTCAGAGACGGGACCGATGGTGGCGGGGCCGTCGCAGAGGTCGTGGGCCCGAACGTGGCGCGCGCTCTCCTGACGTTACGCGTGATGTGGTTCCGTAGTGTTGTGCCGATGGACGATTTTGCCTTTGAGCGCTGTTGTCGCGCGGCCAGCAGTGTTTGGTTTCGTGCGCGCGTGCTCCTCGCTCGGCCTCCCGACGCGTGACGCGTCGCCGCCGCCGGCAGTCGAAGCAGAAGAGCCGCAGCGTGGCGTTCGCGCCGATGAACCGCGAGCGTCGCCAGTTCATCCACGAGTACTGCGAGCACTTCGGCTGCCAGTCGGAGAGCTACGACGAGGAGCCGAAGCGGAACGTGGTGGCCACGGCGCACCGCGACCGCTGCTGGCTGCCGACGCTCAGCGTCCTGCAGGTGGTGGAGCGCGAGGCGGGACCGCGCAAGATCGCGCCGGCGCCCCGCCTGGCCGCCCGGCGCGACCCTGCCACCGCCGCCACCGCCACCGCCGCTGCCGCTGCCGCTGCCGCTGCCGCTGCCGCTGCTCCGTGAGTTGGCGGGAGGAGGGCGATGTGGGTGGACTCGGTTGTGTGTAGAAGGGGTGGGGGTGACGGGTGTAGAAGTCGGCGGGAGGGTGTTTAACGTGCTGGCGGGATTGGTTTGACGACAGGTTAAGCCTTGTATGATAGGAGAAGCGCATAGCGTCCGATGTGGGGTCTGCCACCCCCGTTGACATCACGTGGTCGTGCAGTGCCGTGCAGAGACGGTTCGCCTCGAGTGACACCAGTGTGGCTGTGACCTGGCACGGGGCTCCATTCCAGCACCAAGCCAGCGCAGCCGGAGGCGGCCGCCGCCGAGGTGATCGACTACTTCGACTTCACCGGCTGACGCATGCCCGGCGGACACGTCCACCGCCGGCGCCAGCCGTCACGGAGCGGCCCTCGCGTGACGTCACCGGCCGCCAGCAGGCCGGTGACGTCAGGGACAGGCCGGCGCCGCGCGGACGGTCGCTGGAGCCGGCCGCGCGCGCCGCTGCCGCGCGTGCGCCGCTGCCGCGCGTGCGCGCACCGGCCGGCGGACCGGCGCGACGCCGGCTGTGGTGCGGACCGGCGCGGGGCCGGCGCGGCCGAGGACGGCGGCCGTGCGGACTCAAGTGCCGGGTCTGGCGTCATCGAGGCGCTGGTCAGTCGCCGCGCTTGCGGCCGGCGCTGGGAACGTGCGGGTTGCGGTGTTGCGCGGGGTTTTGCGGCACGGACGGTGTTCTGTTGGCGCCTGCTCGTGTGTGGGTATAGCCGGGTGCCGCACTGCCAACGCACATGGCGTGATGAGCACCTGTTGCGGGTTACGAACGGTGGTGCCGTGACTTACGTGGGTAAGCTGTGAGGGATGGGGATGTATCGGCCGTGATGACCTGTCTGGTGTCCATACTCTGGTGGTTGACTGGTATGCAAATTATCTGCGGCAATCCAATGGTGCTTGGCACGGTGAATACGTGTTAAACGACTAAATAAGTTTTTGCGATTCCTTTGTTATGATTCTGGCGGTGGCACTCCGAACACTCCGTCCCTAGGAAGCGCCGTCCGCACTGTGCTGCTCCTTTTCTCCAGTTTTATGCACGGTGTTCCACCCCGCCTTCCGCGCGGTATCCATGAGCGCCCGACTTCCGAATTTGTTGGTCACCGCTGCGGTTGGCTCCCTGAATGCGCTTGACTGCAGCCGTGTTAGCAATATCCCGCATCTGTGGGCTCCGCGTGTCTGGCTGGTGTTGAAGCTCTGTCTGCGTAGCCACGGTTACATCGTCTCACTATTTGAGGGTAATGACGCCCTGGCTTTGCCCAGACCCCGGTCTACACCTTTTGTGAGCGTGCGTTTGTTTTGTGGGCAGCGACCCGTTGGACGTAATTTCAACGCAAAATCATCGAGATTGTAATCGCTGTGCGCCGGCTTACGAAGTGCGAGATCCCGAAACGTTGCGTTCTTGGTGTGTTCGGCTTGATGTGGGGTTCGTCTCAAGCACCGAACTTCAGCTTGTTTTCATAGAAACAGCCGGGCCGCGAGCGTGATTGTCGCTGCCGAAGTGCGTCGTTCGTGATATCTATTTTGAAATAAAGCGAATGTTGGGTGAACTGGGGCCTGTGCTCATGTGGAGAAGCGGGCTGAATGATGTGGTCAGCTGACGCTCTGTTGCCGGAGCTCTCACGCCTTTTGACCTGACGACCGGCGACTGGGTGTGCCGTTGCCTTGACTCTGCCAGGCATCAGCGGCCTGCTCTCAGTTCCATGTGGGACTGGACTCGGTTCCAGTGTACTTGTGCGCTCACAGGACCCCGTTCCACAGTGCACTTGTGCACTCACAGGACTCGGTTCCACCGCACACCGCGTGGAGCGCGGTGGAAACTCCTCACGGATTATGAGCTTGGCGGGCATCGGGTTAGTATGCTGGCTGGACAATCGAACCAGAGCACATTTGCGCCAACTCTTGCCCGACAAGTCGGACGTGCGTTCAAAGTAATGTTGCAGGTCTCCGTGCTGACACCAAAAGCAATATTCCGTCGTCCGTCGACGACGACGTCCGTCGCAGCACATTGGGCGACTCTGCACGTCCGTCGATCAGATGGACTGAAAAAGCTCGTGGCGAATTCGGTTTCATGTTAAGTCGGACTTGGAGCCGATGATGAGCCACGAAGCACTGCATGGAAGTAGCCGATTGCACGGAACTAAAAACGAACATAAGTCATGAGATCGGAAAGAGGAAATTATGGCATTTTATGCTCACTATTATGCAAGGTTTCAAATGCGTATTTTTCAGCATCGTATGCTCTCGCCGTTGTCTGTGAGCACTCGAGTCGCACTCATTCATTAACTTCGACTTGAGGCCGGCGAATGTTGTTAAGCATCCGGAAACCTGTCGCCATGATTTCGGAGACGCTCCACGTTGCCAAATGCAGGGTATGTTGGTGTAGGGACCTTTATTGTGTCTTCTTCGGACGAATATGCGTTCATTTTGTCTCTTCCAGCTCAACATAACTAATGCATTATATATACACGCTGCGTTCACAGATTGGCGAAATCCATCTCGCGTTTCAGTTCGGGCAAGTTTGGGCGTCCATTTCAGCGATGGCGAGATTGCTTGAGGCAAGGCTCTGGGAAGAACTGGATGCCTTGATATAGCTTTTTCAATGGCATTCACAATGAGGCGGCAACTGCGGCGATGTCTTAAGATGAAGGTTTAATGACTGGTCGCCTCGTCGCTGGCCTAAGTAGAACCCCCGTGGTTTTCTGTCACGCTGCTGGAGATCGTGCCGACATGTCGATCTGCGGCTGTGCTACTCTGCTTCGTCTCTCCCACACCGCCGTCCGAAAGTCGCCCGCCATCGCTGACACGGCCGCCCGGGTCGGTTCCGGTCGCGTGACGTCACCCGGCGTCCGGGAGTGACGTCATCACACGAAGGGCATGGACTCGAGCGGCACGCCGCCGGACACGAAGCCGGCCACCTCCTGCGGGATGGCCTGCGAGTCCTCCTGCTGGCTGCACGGCCGGCACATGCACTCGATCGGCGCTCTCGTCACGATCTGGGGACGGCGCTACAGAGGTCACGATCTGGGGATGGGGTCACAGAGGTCACGATTTGGGGACGGCGTCATGGAGGTCACGATCTGGGGACGGCGCCGTAGAGGTCACGATCTGGGGACGACGCAGTAGAGGTCACCATCTAGGGACGGTTTCATAGAGGTCACGATGTGGGGACGCTGTCATTGAGGTCACGATCTGGGACGGTGTCATTAGGGTCAGTGGTCTAGTCAGCGGGGATGATCACAACCTGGGGACGGTGTCACTGAGACGGGCGGTCCGGTCAGTATAGAAGCTCACGATTCGGGGCGAAAGGCAGGGTCGAAGGGCCTGGTCCGCATGGAAGGTCAAGTTTGTGGGCGATGCCACAGGCGTGGTGTGGCTAGTGGGAGGTCATAATTTGGGGATCGTGTTAGAGGTCAGGGGTGAGGGGACGGGAGGAGGGGTGCAAGAGGACACGACCTTGATGACCGGTTGATGGCCCAAAGGCACGTCGAGTCGCTCCCTCCATGTAACGTCATAAGCTTACGGCTGAGTTATCCCAAAGGTTGGGGGAAGGGGAGGGGCCCGAGCCCCCAAAGCCATGCTCCACATAACGCGTCAGCACCTGCACCTACGGCCCTGGGATTAACCAATTAACAGGGGGTGATCGACGAGGTCAACGCTTTGCCAGCCAGCGCTCGCGACGGAAGGTTTACCGGGATGATCCGCCCTGAAATGAACCCTTCGGTCAGGTGATCCATCCTGAGACCGTAGTTTCGTCCTTTCCATTACGATAGTTTTCTGACCATCTAGCCCGAAGAATCGAGGCAGGCTCAAAGTCTGCAGGCCTAAAACGACGGCATTAATTTTAATGCTCAATATTTCGGCTCGATGTCCTGATGGCGTATTACTTTTTGGGTATGTCGCTAGCACACCCTGTAAACAACACACAGCAGTTGTCCACGTTCCGCACTCTTGGGAGGCATCCTTGGTCAAGTGCTCGTTGTTTGAATGCCGTCATTTCAGGCCTGCATACAGTGACGTGGACCACTGCTGTGTGTTGTTTACATTGCGTGCTAGCGACATACCCCCCAAAAATATTCGCAGTAGCGTACCACAAATACTCCATCAGGAGATTAAGTAGAAATATTGAGCATTTGAGCATCAGACAGGCACGCGACCCGTACATCTGCCACACTGCGGAGAAGGTAAGACTGCGGTGCAGGTCGCCTCCGAACGTGACCGTCTCCCGGCCCAGCAAGCGGGCTCTCACCTTGCGGAACTTGGGGTCGCCATGTTTGGCTTGCGGACAGAACAGCGAGACTGACGCCTCGCGCTGTCCACTCTCCTGGCAGCACATGCAGGAGCGCTCTGTCTGCCAAAGCTTACTGCCCGACACCTGTTGACGAGGATGGCACGGTTCCTTCAGCGCAGCTCACTGCCCGGCGTCAGATGACAGGGACAACACGGTCCCCGGATACAGCTTATTGCCCGACGCCTGTTAACACGCGCTCGGGTGGGGTCAAATTGACCTCCCCCCCCCCCTCCCGAAGGCTTTTCCACAATGGTTTCTGAACGGCGTGGCGTAGCCGCGCTAAATTTTGTGTAGCTGTAGAAAATTGAACGGCGGATCGTCTTACATAAATAATTTAGGTGTACCTGCTAAGGTCACTGACCTACGGCGGGTCAAAGTCGGGCCATGGTTTCAGCGAAGGCAATTTTTAGGGAATGCTTCAATCTGATCCAACAACGGAGTGTTAAACAAAGCCATACATCTCTGGGATGCTTTCTTAGGCAACAAAACAGTTGAATGAGCAAATAAGATTGACCTAAGGCCACGTATGAAGGTTACACCAAGGTCAAAATTGACCTGCTTTGTTACTCTAGGACTTGCTGTATGGGATAGTTTCTGGTGCTCATTTCGAGTTTATTGATAGCAGGAACCGCATCATACATCTTCCATGGACTTCTTAGAGGTCAGAATGGGCCATTGACCTAAAACAACCCAGGTCAACATATTGTTTTAGGAACATACTGTCTAGCGTAACCTTTGTCGCTTAGTCAGATGCAAAATTCAAAGCAATCTTGTATGATTTTGGTCACTTTTACATTCAAAGGTCAAACAAGGTCACTGACATTGAGTGAGAATGTGAGTCTTTGCTTAGAAACAGTTATCCAGGTTCTGGGGGCACTTTGAAGACCTACCTGGAACTTGACATCATTTGACTTTTTTTGACCCAAAGGTCATGACCTAGGAACCTGAAACTTTGACCTAAGTGAGTTCACGTACCGGTCAACACAACCTGTAGATTTGGTGTTCTAACTTTTTTAGTTCT